TCTATTATATTCATAATAATCTCTCAAATTTAGTTTGCTGGTTTAATTAATTAAGTTTATTATAAGGATTCTATTCTTATTATTTGTCCTTCGCGTACAAAATTTCTAATTTCAATGAAAGAATAAGTTCTCTGAACTTTATTTCCTGCACTTTAAAATTACAATATCAAAATAAACACAACAATCTTCATTTATTCTGCTTCCATATGTTATATTTAACACATCATTTTCTACATAAATAATTCCTTAATTGTAATTATACGTGACAATATTTTCCAACGTCATAATCTTATATATATATATATATATCAGCTTTCTTTATTTTGTAATGCGTAAATGATTTCGATCGACGTCATTCGCTTTAAGCTGAATAATAAAGAAAGTATAAACTTCATTAGTGCTTCAAAATTTTACGATGATATTTCACTATAATCATCAGCTTTCGATTGAAACATAGGAAATGATGTCAGAAATATTATACGACCTTCTCAAATGAATCAAAAAACATATGAATTTTCTAGATTAGAATTGGTATCAAGGGAAAAACAAACTTTTGAGTACTAATGCTAATTATTCCATATGACGTCATTCTCTGGAGATGTATTTTACTTGAATTAAACTCAATATATTATACAGAAGTAATGATTAGATAAAACACTTGATAGATTGACATGTCAAGTATTGTATTTCAACCTGTATCAAGTCTAAGATGATACTTATATATTTTAATTAATTAAATTTCGAGAATGTTATCTTATGCAGACACAAAAAAAAGTATTAGAGCGCGTAATCATATCGATGATCAGTGACATCTTGTTATTTTAACAGCAAGCATCTTATACGCAGTTGTCAAGGGCAAATAAATAAATCTCCTACTATACTATCATCTAATCTTATTGTATTCATATATATTTGTTGTTCTGAAGAATTTCTGAACATATATTGATAATATTATTTCTTTTATTGTAATTTGTATATAGATTAATTTAAATAAATGACTATTTATAATCTTCCAGACGATATAACATTTACTAAAACGATTATAGAACGAGGTCAAGGTCTTCATACTCCTAATGAAGGTATAAAACAAAATGAATAATTTTTTTCAAAAACAAAAATTTCCTTTTGAAATCTATCCTAGGATCAAATTGTAAAATAATTATTTATTTTTCTCCATGTGATTATTCATTAAATGGAAATTTCTATACTGATCTTCTTCCTCTCAACGAAGAAATAAATATTCATTTAGGATTTTATTCTTCAATAATTAGTAATTATGTACACAAATGTTTAATAACAATGAAACAAAATGAATATTCTCAATTAAATTTTAATTCGTAACAAAATTCAATTTTTGCTTTTAAATCAATACTTTTTTGTGTAATTTTTAGTAATGATAATCAACAAATTCAAATTTCTATACGTTTAATTTCATTTGAACGTTTTCCGGAAATCTATTCCATGTCAATTAATGATCTTTATGATTTCGCATTAAAACATAAAGAAAATGCGAATAAATTTTTCCAAAATAAACATTATTTTCAAGCGTTTAAACTTTATCATCGTTCATTATGTTATATATTAAATTTTGTTAATGAACAACCAACAAATGAATATTTAGATAAATTTAATCAACTTATTTTATCAATTTATTCGAATATGTCAGCATGTCAATTAATTTATGGAAATAATTTAAATGTTATTGAAAATTGTTCATCAGCACTTGAAATTAATTCGAAATATGTTAAAGCTTTATATCGTCGAGGTTCAGCTTATGGGAATTTAAATGATTTTGAATTAGCATTAAAAGATCTTCAATTAGCAAATCAAATTGAACCAAATGATAAAAAAATTGAAGATCAGTTAAAATTAACACGACAACGTTTTGAACAATATAAGAAAACATTAGGAAAATCATTAAAAAATCTCTTTTAAAAATCGATCTTTCATTTATTATTCGGTCAGATTAAAAGCAAATCTTTATTTTTTTTTCAGATGTTTTTCATTTGGATTTTTCTTGTTGGTATTACAAATGTTATTTGTGAAGATTTTTATTCATTTACAGTTAAAGATTGGGAAGGAAATGATCATCCATTAGAACAATATCGTGGAAAGGTTTTTAAAAAATAGTTTTTATATTCAATAGAGATAATAATTTATGGTATTTTTTTTATTCTAGGTGTCATTAGCTGTTAATGTAAGTTCTATTATCAAATGGATCAATATTCTTGAGGGTGGGAGATGAAGATGAGGCTCACACTCATATCCATCTATATTTCAAATTTATTCTCATCATAATCCAGTGGTGGATCTAGGATTTTTTATAAAGGGGGACGATTTCGGTCAAAAATCGTCCTGTTGCTGAAAACAAAAATCTGAGATAGGATGCAATCGCAATCTGCCCCCCCCCTCCCTAAATCTATCGTGTATATAACGGGCAGATTTTTTCTATCATTGGATAACGAACTTTGATTGATTCTCTTTTTATACACACATATATATATTATACAAGTTGAATACAAATATTTATTCATACTTATCATAATGATCTATTTGCAATGTTTATGAATAATCTAACTCTTTCGATAGATTCCAAATATATGCTATAGTTAATTTATTAATGATGAGAACGACTGAATGACTTCTATTGCTTCTAGCTGTTTATGTTTATCTTACAACATATTTATCTATCATATGTTGTTGATCATTGTAGAATACTCGAAATATTACAGTACCCTCATTAGCTAATAGATGATAATAAAGAGTAACATTTATCTAATACAAAAACTTGAATTTTTTAATAAAATAGGTCGCTAGTGAATGTTCGTATACAGATTCACATTATGAAGCTCTTGTTGGTATACAACAAAAACTTAATCGAGGTAATCGAAATGTCTTTCAAGTACTTGCATTTCCAAGTAATCAATTTGGTAATCAAGAACCTCATGTAAATATTTTAAAAATAAATTATTTGATTTATTCTATTTTACTTTATTTATTAAGAGTGATAGACATATTCGTGTATGGGCCAAAGATATGTTTGATATCAATTTTCCTATATTTGCTAAGGGTGCTGTTATAAAAGAAGGAATTGAGAATGAAGATGAATTACCAGATGTATGGAGATTTTTAAGTGGTAAATATCATTATATATGTATTTTATTTATTTAAACAAAAAACAATGTTTTATTTAGAAAAAACTGAACCACCATCGTGGAATTTTTGGAAATATTTAATAGATCCAAATGGTAATGTTATTCAAGCTTATTCACCTCAAATAAATATGCGTCAAGTTTATCCAGATATTAAAAAATTACTTGTTAAATACAATTTAATTGATAAATCCGAATTATAATAAGACAATATTAAGAATTCATGTTTATTGATATCAATAGATTAGATTAAAATACAAGATATCGAGTGCTGCATTTATTCTTCCGGTTGTTGTTATTCTCCTCACGTCTCTTTTTTTATTCTAGTCGCTATATGTTATTCATGCATGCGCGTGTGTGTGTGAACTTTTCTTTTTCTTTATGCTCAACGATGTTCATGTTTGCTACTATTTAAATGACATTATTATTATGAAGATTTTTTTTTCTGAGAATAAAATGAATAAATATCAAAATAGGATTTATTTTCTTGTTACGTAGTTCAATATGATCAAACAAACTCTCGTCATTTGTTATTCTATCGTAATAATTGATCGATAATATATGAAGATGAAGGATTATTCTAGAGATATTCACTTTAATACTACTCAAGATTTATATTTAGTTTAATATTACTTTCTTTAGATTAACAAGTCATTTTTTTCGAGTTGTATCTTTTCTTTGCTGCTTGATGTTTTCGGATCCTACGAGTCATTTTATTACTTTACCAAATCGTCCAATTGTTCAGGCTAATGGTGAAACTACTCAAGGTCCACTAGAACTTCACTATTGGGAATGGAAAGGTCATCAACCGACAATACTTTTCTGTCATGCTGCTTCATTTCATGGTCGATGCTATGATCGCATTATAAATGAAGCATTACATGGTTATCATGTGATTTCTTTAGACTTTCGTG